ATTATTGCCATTTTTAAAAATATCCCTAGACTTTTCCGATGTGTGTAGTTATATCCATGACATCAATACGAGGTCTGTTAAAAAAAATTAGGTGATTTATCATATTTCTCAAAAAATATCTATTCATCTATTTACTAGCGAACCGCCGTGGCTCCGCACGGGTGCAAGACAGATACTAAATATAAATATATAAACACGTGCGATCGCTACTAATCAAAGTGCTATAGGGCGAAGCGCGACCTTCGACGCGCTATTTATAGGCACACGCCGCCGGTTCCCCGGACGGTACCGCCGCAACCGCTGTGTCCCTGCTCTTTAAATCAGTAATATCTTCGAAAATATTCATTTAAATTACATGCTCTAAAGGGCCATATTGATCTATATTAAATGCACTATGTGTTGCTCAAAATCGCTTCGTTATTAAGTCATTATTTCTCGAGGATAAGAAATGGTTATTGTGGGCTATCTCTAAGAGATAGACATATACCATCGCACACTTTTCTGTAGACCTTCTGTAGTACATTGTTTGATCTAAAGATTTTTGGCCACTATACTTTACCAAACCATGACCGTAAACGTACCGGCACATGCTAAAAAATATTCTTTCATACAATTTTTATGAATCAACGCCCACTATACCGTACCAAACCATGACCGTAAACGTACGGGCACATGCTAAAAAATATTTTTTCATACAATTTATATGAATCAACGCCCACTAGACCGTTCCGTTACCGGTCCGGCACTTAGCGTAGCATGCACGTGTCATCACAGTATTTGAGTCGAGAATATTTTACTGGTGCTGATGGGTCTCCGGCAGCGAAACGGTGTATAAACTGGTTGTAAATCATTTTCAGTTTTATTCAGCAATACATTCCATTGGAATGTAGATATTCGAAAATACTGAAAAAAATGTTCCTCATCATCAACTAAATTTCAAATGTCCATTATTCTCCTTCACTTTCTCGTTCTCTTGAAGAGTCGTGAATCCATTAGCGTCGAGTTTTTTTTGGGTTTCTGCTTCTTCATCGTACAAAATAATAGCTACCAATGCCAATTGTTAAGCAGATAATCTCATAGCCATATTCGTTCTTCGTGGGGAACTCTTCTACACGTTCACACTACACTGATGAGTAAGCCGGAATAACATACAATACTTTACATTTACATTACATTACATCTAATAGTCATCATACCTGTATGATACGGTCATTATACGTGTTGCTTACGGGCTTAGAACACGGTTAATCCATTACAGTGGGCAAGGTAGACAGTGTCGTGTTAGTTTCCGTGTCAGATACGGTCCTAGCACGGCCATGGTTAGTACAGTATAGTGAGTAGTACAGTATTTCTCTACTATATTATTGTTACGTTTTCCCCGTGGGTTGACCATAAATTGACTATAATGAATAATCAAACTTAACTTTATTTCACTTTAAATGCAACAAATACTTCAACTAAAACTTCAACTATTATTCGAATGTTTATCGCCTTACTAGATCGCTTCGCGTACCGGACTGTAACTTCCGCTTGACTGTGTCGATATGTTCGTGGCCAGCGTTAATATATCGCAACCAATACGGCAGAATATTCTTCGAAATTACATCAAAGTCGGTAGCATTATTCTAGCTACATCTAGAACAGCATCGAAGATCTACATTCGCGCGCTCTTAACTACGTCACAATTGGTTTATGGCTACCAGTGGCGGTCGGCGTTATTTTCTTTAGGGTATAATTTATAACACTACCCCCTTCCCTGAGGTTGTTCGCCCCAAAAAACATTCCAAGAGGGGACATCACAACCCATGTAAGGACTCAACATTTCTATGTAGGCAATTTTAGGCTTGCTTCTGGGTAACAATTGGATTCTGTACACCAGATCGTTTATCTTTTTGGTTACCAAGTAAGGCCCTTGCCATGGTCGCTGCAACTTGAGACATAAACCTTTCCGACGTTGGGGTTGGTAAAGCCACACTTCTTGAAGCAGCGACTTTTTGTCAAATCTTATCTTCATCCTGTCGCTGAAAGCTGTAATTTGGTCCTGGCAAATTCGTGTACAATTTCCAGTCTGTCTTGAGGACTGCCATACAATACATCTATGGGAAGCTTCAGTTCCCTACCAGTTGACAACATGGATGGTGCACTTTTTGGTATGTCCTTAAGCTCTCTCAGCGATTCAGTTTTTATCTACTCAATCGTCACAAAATGCCATGCATTCATGGGTCTTTTCAGTCTTGAAAACGGGAAAAAGTCGCAGAGGGCCAAATCTGGTGAATACGGTGGCTGAGGCATGATTACCGTGTATTATCGTGATGCAAAAGCCATTAATTGTTTATCCACAATACAGTAATTCATAATGTTTCTCGCAAGCGACNAACTATGATCTGATACCATTATAACTGTATACTTTGAAGCTGTGCCTATGTGAATTTGTAGGTGGAATCAATCGTGGGTTACAAAAGTAAACCTAAGGATGATGGCGGAAAGGTGGCTCAGTTGTTCAAAAAGATCGAGAGTTCGATTTCCCCTGATACGGTGACCAATACTCAAGCAGTATTTGCTTTCCATGTTACCGGAGATGAAGCTGGGAAATGGTAATATAATTTTTCATATATTTTTACTAGTTTTTATTTTATTTTTGATACAATACTTGAAACAGATTTTTCAATTCATAAAGGGATATTTATTGTTGCTTCTAAATAAGGTAGTTCATCTATTCATTCAATTGATTCATTCTGTAAAAATTTCAAGATTTTCTTAATAGAGCTGTAATTTTTTCAAAAATTTTATTGATATATTATTCCTTTTATTTCATGGCAATATTTTTTTCAATATACTCTATATGTTTGCTCCATGACAAATTTTATTCAATATATAGACTTGAAAATTTATTTGTCTGAGTATAATTTTTTGAATTGTATCCTATCGGTAGAGGATTTGTAAACATGTCTTCAGTTCCTTGGATGTTAATTTATGTTGTTGAAGCCAAAACCTTTGATATGTTTTTGGATTTTATCAAAAGTTTCTGAAAAATAAATTATTGCAATGTAATTAGCAAATAATTTAGTTGTACGTTCAATTGCTAAACTTGAATCTGATGTCTTTTCCAAACACTTTAACGCAGTATTTTGGTACTGCCTCTTAGGTGTCTGCCTTCTAGATTTCTAATTTTAAAATACTGCCACATCCAGTTTTACACTTTCACGCAATATTTTAGTACTGCCTTCTGAGTTTCTAATTTCAAATTACTGCCACCCGTCAATATTACACTTATACGATGTATTTTAGTACTGCCTTCTAAATTTCTAATTTTAACCTTCTGCAAGGTATTCTGTGTCACAAAACAGGTGTGGCTGTTTTGTGTTCTGTGTCCGAAGCACAAATCACAGAATACTATGCCGACGTAGTTGTCAAAATAATGTAGGTTATATTTGTTTATGTGGTGGGGAATATGGGGATTGGACTTTGAATTTTGATTTGAGCATTAATGATATTTCTTTCCATTTTATCTTTCAAATAAGCTAACCCAAAGTGTACATTCTCTGTGAAAATATTGATTAAGCTCACCGTATTTTAAGCTGTAATTCTTAATTTTTTTTCGGGTGAAAATGATAAACACTGGGTAAGTGTGTTTTTATTCCTGATACAATTATTTTCATTGCCCTGTAGTTGTAAAATACTAATAGATAAATAATTAGTTCCTTTAGAAACTATCTCGAGTTCAATTAGTTTGATAACCTTTTTTAAAGATAGGAATAACTGTATTTTGATGATTTAGGTTGACCCCATTTCAAGTATCTCTATAATATATGTTTCCACCTTCAACATTTTCACTGTTGTTTCTGTAGAAAACTTGCAGGGTTAACAGTCTTCATAACCGGAGCGAGTCGAGGTATAGGAAAGGCGATAGCTTTGAAAGTAGCAAAAGATGGTGCCAATGTTGTTGTGGCTGCTAAAACGGCGGAGCCTCACCCTAAACTACCTGGAACCATATACACAGCATGTGAAGAAAGTGAGTTTGTTCTTTGCTAGTAGAAAATCAAATGAAGGAGATTTTATTCAAAATTGAAGGTTTTTCTGTTTCCAAGTAGTAATCGTCTTTATTTTGTCTGTTTCCAGTTGAGAAAGCAGGTGGCAAAGGACTACCGTGTGTAGTAGATGTGAGGGATGAACAAGCTGTGAAAAAGGCTGTAGAGGAAGCTGTACAAAAGTTCGGAGGCATTGATATTGTCATAAATAATGCTTCAGCTATATCTTTGACTGGCACTGAAGATACGGATATGAAAAGATATGATTTGATGCACAATATTAACACTAGAGGAACTTTTTTGGTGTGAGTCAAAAGATTTATTGGGAGACTGTAAATATAGTTGTAGTATCGTGGAGGATCATTAAGTGGCGAAATATATGTTTATTCAAACTGTTTCTATTGCTCCAAAGCACTGTTAGAAGCAAAATAAATTACATAAGGTTTCAAAACTTGTCTTAATAATGAGGCTTTTTCAATTCTTACTATCCTTATAAAATAAAAATCTTTTTGGCCAAAATTATGTCATTTTCCTGGCAGCTGTATGGTAGAAAGAAATGTGCTAAGAGTGAAATGCGTTACATTTTTTGGTTACTGTTTTTCATTGTTCTGTAATAAAAAGCAGAGAAAATAATATTCTTACCAAGAAAATCCTTCCATTGATACCAAGATTATTCCAACCATTTTGACAAGAGCCCATTTGCTTAGTGTCGGTCAACTGATGAGCTGTAATTTTTAGATCAAAGGTATGTTTACCATATTTGAAGAAAAGCAGCCATGCACACATTTTGAATCTTTCACCTCCTCTCAGTATGAAGCCCATATGGTTCAAGGACCACGTGGCCTATACCATGGCTAAGTACGGGATGTCTATGTGTGTATTAGGAATGCATGAAGAACTCAGACCGTTCAATATCGGAGTAAATGCTCTTTGGCCGAGAACAGGTAACAAAAAATTACCTTCCAAGTACTTTCTTCGGTATAATTGAAGATACTGAGAACTTTCCTGATCCTAGTCTATTCGTTTTAGCCGTTGCGACAGCTGCTATCGAGTTGATTCAAGGTAAAAGCGCTACGGACTACTGCAGAACGCCTGATGTGATGGCCGATTCGGCTTATGTCATCCTGACGCAAGATCCTAAAACATGTACTGGCAATTTTTTCATCGATGAACATGTCTTGCAGAATGCTGGAATAACTGATCTTAAACAGTATGCCTGTGTTCCAGAGAACAATGATAAACTGATGCCAGACTTCTTTGTGGATGAGAATATTGAAGAGGTAGGTTAAATATGTCTTGTCAGTTTAAAACTGAACATTTTTATAATTATTTGGGCATATTCCACTAATAGAAATATAAATTAAATTGTTTTATTGCATTGTCTATTCTTCAGTCACGTTTGTTAATAATGGAAGGGCCCCATGCCGAACATTGAAGTACATTATTTTATTTTGTTGTCTGAGAACTATGATCTGATACCATTATAACTGTATACTTTGAAGCTGTGCCTATGTGAATTTGTAGGTGGAATCAATCGTGGGTTACAAAAGTAAACCTAAGGATGATGGAGGAAAGGTGGCTCAGTTGTTCAAAAAGATCGAGAGTTCGATTTCCCCTGACACGGTGACCAATACTCAAGCAGTATTTGCTTTCCATGTTACCGGAGATGAAGCTGGGAAATGGTAATATAATTTTTCATATATTTTTACTAGTTTTTATTTTATTTTTGATACAATACTTGAAACAGCATTTTTTAATTCATAAAGGGATATTCATTGTTGATTCTAAATAAGGTATTTCATGTATACATTCAATTGATTCATATATTTTAGTACTGCCTTCTGAGTTTCTAATTTTATATTACTGCCACCACCTAAGTTTCACATTTCAGCGCATTATTTCAGTACTGCCTTCCAAGTTTCTAGTTCTAAATTACTGTCACCCGCCAGTATTACACTTATACACGTATTTCAGTACTGCCTTCCAGATTTCTAAATTTAAAATACTGCCACTACCAGTTTTACACTTATTTCAGTACTGCCTTCTGAGTTTCTAATTTTAAATTACTGCCACCTGCCAGTAATACACTTATACGCTGTATTTTAGTACTGCCTTCTAAATTTCTAATTTTAAAATACTGCCACTGCCAGTTTTACACTTCCACGCAATATTTTAGTACTGCCTTCTGAAATTCTAGTTATAAATTACTGCCACCCGTCAGTTTTACAGTTAAACGCAATATCTCAGTACTACCTTCTGAGTTTCAAATTACTGCCAACATCTAAGTTTCGCATTTCAGCGCATTATTTCAGTACTGCCTTCCAGGTTTCTAGTTTTAAATTACTGCCACCCTCCAGTATTACACTTATACGATGTATTTTAGTACTGCCTTCTAGGCTTCTAAATTTAAAATACTGCCACTGCCAGTTTTGCAATTTCACGCAATATTTTATTACTGCCTTCTGAAATTCTAGTTATAAATTACTGCCACCCCGTCAGTTTTACTCTTCAACCCAATATTTCAGTACTTCCTTCTGAGTTTCTAATTTCAAATTACTGCCACCACCTAAGTTTCATATTTCAACGCATTATTTCAGTACTGCCTTCCAGGTTTCTAGTTATAAATTACTGCCACCCGCCAGTATTACATTTTAACGCTGTATTTTAGTACTGTCTTCTAGATTCGTAGTTTCAAATTACTGTCACTCCGCCAGTTTTACACTTCACCGCAATATTTTAGTACTACCTTTTGGATTTCTAGTTTAAAATTACTGCCACAATGGCAGTTTTACATTTTAAGTATTTTAGTACTGCCTGCCAGGTTTCTAGTTATAAATTACTGCCACCCCGTCAGTTTTACACTACCACCACCTAAGTTTCACATTTCAGCGCATTATTTCAGTACTACCTTCCAGATTTCTAGTTTTAAATTACTGCCACCCTCCAGCATTATACTTATACGCTGTATTTTAGTACTGCCTTCTATTCTAATTTCAAATTACTGCCACCGACTAAGTTTCACATTTCAGTGCATTATTTCAGTAGATTCCTAGTTTTAAATTACTGCCACTCCGCCAGTTTTACACTTCAACGCAATATTTTAGTACTGCCTTTTGGATTTCTAGTTTAAAATCACTGCCACAACTCCAGTTTTACACTTCTGAGTATTTTAGTACTGCCTTCCAGGTTTCTACTTTTAAATTACTGCCACCCGCCAGTATTGCACTTCAAAGCTGTATTTTCGTACTGCCTTCCAGCCTTCTAGTTATGAATTACTGCTACTTTCACCCCGTCTGGAATTTAATAATAATCATCATGGCAAACAATTGATTTAAATCCAAATTATCTAGGTATGTTGACTTGAAGAACGGCAGCGGTTCCTGTGGGCAGGGTGAAGCCCCTTCTAAGGCAGATGCTACCCTCACAATGGACAGTAAAAACTTTTTTGACATGTTTTCTGGAAAAGTCAAACCTGCCACAGCTTACATGACAGGGAAGTTGAAAATCCAGGGAAACCTCCAGAAAGCTCTCAAACTGGAGAAGCTCATGTCTAGTTTGAAAGCAAAATTGTAAACTACTTCGTTTGTGGTCGGTTCTTTGTTGTTGAATTTTTAAAAAGCATTTATCTTAGGAGTAATTTCAATATTCTTCTGTGAATATATCAATTGAAAAAACAAGGGGTTTCAGTTGATATATATCAGTCAACAAAATTTTAAAAATAAAAATACTTCTCAGTTTGTCCACCTTCCTTTCTTTTACCAATTGGCCTAAAACTAAAAGTAACTGGTACATTCACAAGAAAGAAGGAATAAATGCTATAATCATTACATGAGATAAAACAAATCAATTGACTGCCACTGACCAAAAATCATCAGCGTAGCACGTCATGGAACAAACAACCCCTTCTTTAAAGGTGAATTAGCTGAATACTGCCAGAACTGCAATTCTCTTCTCGACGCGCGTTTCACCAACCAAGTGAGCGTCTACAGGAGATGAAGAGAGAACTTAGTCCCAACTCTAAAATTCTATTTATATCGTAACAGGACACACTTTCACATTCCGACACAGATCAATGATTTCCGGTAGAAATTTGCGAGAAATTTTCTCATGAAGGAAGTTCAGATAAGTTAATTAGGAAACGTAAATTCAAGGAGAATCTTCGTAAATCTTTAATTTCTCGAAAATACATTAATTCAATGTTCCTTTTCTACCGTATGAACAAAGATATGGCAGATTAGATCGAATTTTTTAAAAGTTGAACGTGAAAGTAGCCTTCAATACTGTTAGGTAACCCTAACAAGTCAAGATGTTGGAAAATGAAAAGTCTGGGATATATGAAATAAGCTGTGAGGACTGTGACAAAAAATATATCAGTCAGACTGAGCGAGCTAATGAAACTCGTTTCAAAGATCACGCAGCACACGTCGTTAAACACGCTTTGAAAAACGCCCATGGAATGGATGAAAACCGTCTGGAATTATTGAAATCGGTACATGACACTAGATTGTTTAATGGTGTCGAAAGTCTGTGGCATGAGAACTATGAACCGTGACAAAGGTCCCTCAACAAACAACCCATTGTTTACGTGGAACGTGCTTTTAATAAAATTCTGAAAGGTTTTAAAATACCAGGGTAGCGCCGCGAAAGAACACTCCGTATGTGTATTAAGTATCCTCAAACATGAAAATTCATTTATTTTGTTATTGGAATAAAATGAACCACTTCAATTGTGGCCCGAGTCTGCGGATTTCATAGGATGAAACTAGGTATGAAAAAAACCTGTCTCTGAACTTTGTGTAACTTATATTATAATATACACACATCGGAAAAGTCTAGGGATATTTTTATAACATACTAAATATCATAAAAATAAATGCATGAGGTCGTTTAATTTCGATTAAATTGGTACACTCGACCACCCTGTAGATTTCTATGGGTTGAACAAAGCCTGCAAAAACGGTAACTAATCNATGTGCTTTTTTAAATGGAACACCTTGTATTTCGTTAGACTTTTGAGTAGGCCAGGAAAAATTATCATGATTTCATATAAGGTACTATGAACCTAAGAATGACGGTTCTCGAGTTATTGATTTTTTTGAGAAAATGCTATGTATACTAAATAACATCGAATTCTAACCAAGCATAAAAGAGGTTTCGAGCTATTGATTTCGATAAAACTCAATATCAGAATGTTCAAAAATCATTGTCACTTTTTTATAATTTCGGACAAAGATAACTTTGTTATTTCAAATTAAAACACCCCATATTTTTCTGGTTTGAACAATATAAAATTCAATTATCTTTCATTTCATTTTGGGGTTCCCTATACCTAACCTAAATAGTTTTTCAGGTATTGGCTTTTTCAAACAGTAGTTAGCTTTGAAACGACATTTATTCAACTTGTTGAAATAATTCTTATTAACAGTTATTGTGTTTTACGTTATTCAAAACATTCACCGAACAGACGGCAAATAGACCGAAACCCATCATTGGAAATTATGAAAATGAATTTCTTGTTATGGAATCAATTGTAAAAAACCCTCAATGTGAGATTGAGATAGACACAGGGATAAGCATTAATGTTGATTAATGTTTCTGATTGTTTTAGTTCTTAAGCCTGCTTTGTCAACATATAACATTTTTATCACAAACTTTAACCGTAGACTTTTTTACATGTGCTCGAGCCATATTAATATCTTAATTTTATGTTAATGTTTCAGATTGCTTTAGTTCTTAAGCCTGCTCTGTCAACAAAACCCTAAACTTTTATGACCTGTTAGTGTACCCTGTTAGATATAAATAAAGGAGTTAGTTTTCTCATCTCCTGATAAAGCCAACTGGATTGGTGAAACGCGAGTCGATAAGAGTGTTGCAGTTCCGGTGTTCGGGACAAGTGCTATTTTTTTTGGATTCATTCTTTGCCAGAGGTTTCAGTTTTACCCTACATCAAGAAAAAACATTTCAAAACAATCTTCGACAAACAAAGATCAATCAATACTGAGGTAACAAAAAATAATAAAACGCTATCATAGAGTATCCACATCAACGTTAAGTAATAAAATGTGTATACAAATGGCAGTAGAATTACTCAATCACGCTAAACCTAGTTTTCCTTTCGAGATTACGATATAACATTCTGATGTTCAAATCAAAGGGCGAAATTTCCAAAACAAATCGCTACGACTATTTCTTGGACTGATCCCCTTTGAAGATGATTGAATCATTACATCAGCGACTAGACTAAATGAGATTTCTCTTAGAAAAATACAGACAAGGCTACTCTCACACGTGGAAGCTCTACTTTCATAAAATAAATGTTGCCACGAAAAAATTCCATTTAGCAGAGTGCTTTACAATTGAAAACCGATGCTAAAACTGACTCATCCTAAAACCTCTGTTTTCAATAAATCAAAACACCTTTTGAAATAGGAAAGTATTTTGTTTCGTAAAGATCCAAGATTGTGAAGCACTCTGTCTTAAAACATTTTATGCCGTTAACAAGTTAATGCTATTCAAAAACAATTAAATAGCAACTTTGTTGCTAGCTAATTTCTGTAAAAATCAGTACTAAATATTTCATTAAACTCAGGCACTGTCTAAAAATAGCCAGTAATAACGCGTCACACAACAATGCAAAAACTACTATAGTTGCTATTTAATTTGGATAGGTATTCAATGGAAATAAATAGCAGCCTAAGATAATTCCTAACACTTATCTAACTTAAGTTGATATTTAATTTCACTATCAAATAATTATAAAACTAAAAACAGTCAGGAGTCACCAATGGTAAATCTAATCGATTTTATGGGGGTATGGAAGGCTTTGAAACCTAAGACCCCAATATTCAAGGTCTTTTGCGAATCATATAATGCTATTAAATTGAATAGCAACTTGTACAAAATATTATTCGATTTCACACTGAAGATATATAGAAACAACAACCAACTGATGATTGTCACTGTCAGTAATCATGTGATTTTACTAACATTTACATAGTAGGAGTTTTGAATGAATTGCTCTGAAGCAGATATTGAACAGTAGAATTCAACTGCAACCAGGCAAAGATGCCACGTTTCACTAACTATTTTATGGAGTTAAGAATCAACTGAAGTGAGTCATTGTTTGATTTCACCACGAAAATCAACAAAAATAACAAAGTCGGTATTAAGGAGATAGGACGCAGATTGGAGGGATTATCTAAATCACCACCTTTATGTAGTGGAATGACAACGGAAGTCTTCAGGGAAGAAGGAAATGAGCCAGTCCTGAATGAGGTATTAATAAGGGCGACCAAAGTTTCTAGAGCATGAAAGAACTGCTTTCTTTTAGGCATCTACTGTTTGTTGAAAGTGAGAATAGATACTTCAAGTTTATTTCCTTGTAATTATTTTATTATTCCAATACTTGATATATATTTCTTACAGACCCTTTTTACATACATCAACCAACACAGAACACTTATTTTCCAAGAAACTTATATCTACTCACAGAACACATATTATAAAGGTTTTAAGAGAACTTGTCATGGAAAATTGCTATTCTCAACACCCCCCCTCAATTTTACCCTTTCAAAAAAAAACGGAAATCATTAAACATTCTTAACAAAGAGATACTAGATACACTTACATACTAATTTAATCAAGTGGAATTACTCCAATAGCTGTACGCAGTCTCATGAAATGGGCCGCTGTAAGACCTTTAGTGAGAATATCAGCCTTTTGATCTCTCGAACAAAGATACTGAACACTGACCTGATTTTGTGACACAAGATCTTTAACAAAATTATACTTAACATCTACATGCTTGAGCTTCAAATGATTTGGTTTTGTCAACAAATGTATACATGAGGTATTATCCTCAAAGATAGGTAATGGGTAATCCACATGTATACCCATATCTGTAAGCAAACCTTTCAACCACAAGGATTCACAGGCAGCTAGACTCAATGCGACGTATTCTGCTTCTGTTGAGGACAGAGCTACAGTATTTTGTTTCTTTGTACTCCATGAAACTGTACCTCCAAATATTTCAAACAGATATCCAGACGTAGACTTCCTGTCGATTTCACCAGCCCAGTCTGCATCTGCATATCCAATCAATGGATAAATACTTGAACGTGGAAAAAATAGCCCATAATTTAAAGTACCTTTTATATATTTAAGAACCCGTTTTAATCCAACCCACTGAATCTGTGTTGCATTAGTTTGATAACGACTATAAAAATTTACTGCAACACTCAAATCTGGTCTTGTGGACAACATGGCATACATTAAACATCCAACAAGTTCACGGTAAGGCTTAAACCCAGAAATACAAGGACCCTCCAATTCCCTTGGTGGGTGCACTTCCAGAGGTGTAGACACAGGGTTACACTCCTCCATACTAAACCTTTTCAGGACGTTTTTGAGATATACTTCATTTGATATATATATGCCATCAGTTGTATGAATAATTTTAATACCCAAAAAATAGGTCAAATTTCCTAAGTCCTTAGATTTAAATTTAAACTTAAGTTTAGATTTTATATCTTCAATCAATTGAGAATCATTACCAGCAATCAAGATGTCATCGACATACAGCAGTATGAATATCATGTTATCTCTACAAATCTTAGAATAAAAACACTGATCATATTTACTTTGTCTGAATCCAAGATTTATCATAAACTCATTGAATTTTTCATTCCAGGCTCTTGGAGCTTGTTTCAACCCGTATAGTGCCCTATTTAATTTGCATACTCTGGATGTGCCATCCTCTAGGCCTTGAGGCTGTTTCATAAAAATATCCTCCTGTAATTCCCCATTCAGGAATGCATTATTGACATCAAGCTGCTTACAGTAAAGATTCTTATAGCTAATGATTGACAAAAGTAATCGAAATGTTGTTAACCTGGCAACAGGTGCATACGTTTCATTGTAGTCGAACCCTTTCTTTTGGCTGCAGCCCTTCACAACTAACCTTGCCTTATACTTTTCCACCTCACCATCAGGGTTTCTTTTGAGTTTAAACACCCATTTGTTGTCGATGGCTTTTCTTCCTTGAGGAAGTTCACACATCGTCCAGGTGTTATTTTGCATAAGTGCTGACATCTCTTCCTGTACTGCTATATTCCAAGCATTTCTGTCATCCCTTTTTACTATGTCCTCATAGAGGAGTGGTACATTGTCAACATAAGATTCAGCACTTAGCGCAAATACTGCAACATCCTCCTCTAAGACATAATCCTGCAGATGTGTTGGCAGTCTCTTTGGGCGTGTACTTCGACGCAGTCTTTCTGGCTCAACTGGTTGAATTTCTTGTTCTAGCTCTGTGACTACTTCTCCGCTTGAGTCATCTTCAGACTGAGACATTTCCAATTCATCCCCTGGCTCAGTTGCATTGTGCCCATTTGAGGTTTGGGATACTTCCTCCCATTCACCCAGCTGTTTATCACCTGAAAACTTATGTTCATCAAAAGTAACATTCCGTCCTTCTATTACTTTACTCTCTTCAGGATTCCACAATCGATAGCCATTGTGGCAATATCCTACAAAAAAACACTTAATGGTCCTGGTTCCAAACTTCCAGTCTATAAGTCGCTTGGGTGGATGTAGAAAAGCTACACATCCAAATACCCGAAGCTTTCTTACATCTGGTTTCTTCCCAAACCAAGCTTCTGCAGGGACCTTGCCTTCCAGCGCACATGTAGGACTCCTGTTTAAAACATATGTCGCTGCCTGGACAGCTTCACTCCACAATTCTTTCTTTAGACCTGATTCCAAAAGCATGCATCTAGCCTTTTCTGCTATTGTTCTATTCATTCGCTCAGAGACTCCATTTTGCTGAGGAGTGTCCCTGATGGTGCACTCATACTGAATGCCTTTGGTTTCGAAAAACATTCTCATGTTTTCTGAAAGATACTCAGTTCCTCGGTCACATCGGAATCTACTTATAGGAAGATTGAAGTGTGCTGTCACCATGGCTTCATAAGCCTTAAAGTACCTGAAAGTTTCAGACTTGGCTTCCAGAAAATATACCGAGGTAAAATGAGTGTAGTCATCTACAAAGCATAGAACATACCTCTTTCCATTCCAAGAAGTAATATTAATTAGCCCCATTATGTCACTGTGGATCAACTCCAGTGGTCTTTTAGCTCTAGTTCTTCCTTGACTATGAGGTAGTCTGGTTTGCTTACCAGCAACACAAATCTCACATACTTTCCTTGCATCAGGATTGCATGAGAGTTCCAGTCCATCAACTAGTTTTGTTAGTTTTTGCAGATTTGCTTTGCTGATATGGCCAAAACGACGATGCCAGAGCTGAGCTTCTGTTTCAGTGAGATAAGCGTCAGCTGAACCTGACAGCCGTTCCAGACTTAGCTCATATAATTTATCATTCCTTTGGGCTATAGCTGCAATTTTATCATTTTGTTTGATAAGGGCTTTCCCATTTACAAAGATTACGACAAAACCACTCATTTCAAGCTTTCTTACTGACAAAAGATTATGTTCTAGACTAGGAACAAAC